AATTTGCACCTTAGATATGGTAAAAATTAGTACCCTCTAACAATAAATCTCAACTATCCACTCGATGAATTTCAAGATCTAAGTCTTGATAAATTCAAAATCACTTTTTTCTTTTTTAGCATTATTAATCTAATGATGATAATACTATTTAAAAATTTTGAGAATAAAAAATCCTTTTGATGCATATATCTAATCATCTCGATAAAATGGACGGCTCATATTAATTGGGTTAGAAAAACACTTTTTAGAGCGTTTTTTCCAAATTTTATTTTTTGTGATTATTATTTAGAATGAAAAGAATATACATCTAAAAAATTGAAACAAACAAATATATCTACTATGGTTTTTTTAATATGGTTGCATTATATATATATCTATATATATACATATATATATATATATATATATATATATATATATGGAAACGATTGTATACGCGACGTCGTGCAGGTGGCTTGTTTACGCCAACGGTTCTGATTGCGTCCCTCAAATGGATAGTCCACTTCAAAAAGCTTCTCTCTCCTCGAGAGCATCTTCTACAGCTTGCCCCAAGACAAGCTTCTTACTCAGGCCACCAACTACACTCAAAATGGTCTCTCTTTCTCTCTAGTTGAAGCACACGCCTCTCTCGGTAAGCAAGCATCACTTATCCATCAGCAAGCATCACTAAAATGGCATAACTCATTCGTAAGAAATCATAACTAAAATGACATCACTCATCCATAATAAAATAGCATTTATAAGAAGGCTTCACTAAAATGATATCACTCATTCATAAGCAACAAAATGGCATCCATAAGAAAGCATCACTAAAATGACATCACTCATCCATAAAAAGCATAAGTAAAATGGCATCCATAAGAATATTAGTAAAATGATATAAAATGGCATGTAACATGGCATCCATAAGAAGTATAAGTAAAATGACATCCATACTTGAAATAACGTGCTTCAGATTTCACAGAGAGGGGCAGGCTTCCGATGAGAGAGAGAGAGAGAGAGGGGCCGGGCGTGCTTCAGAATCACAGAGAGGCGCGCGATGAGAGAGAGAGAGAGGTGCGTGCTGCAACTAGAGAGAGAGAGACTGTTTTGAGTGTAGTTGGTGGTCCTGAGTAAGAAGTTTGTCTTGGGGGCAAGCTGCAGGGAAAGGGAAAGTTGCAGAAAGAGAGAGATAGGGCAGGGCAGAGAGGGGGCTAGCGTGCTTCAGGTTCACAGAGAGGGGCGTGATGAGAGAGAGAGAAAGGCGTGTGCTTCAACTAGGGGGAGAGAGACCGTTTTGAGTGTAGTTGGTGGCCCTGAGTAAGAAGCTTGTCTTGGGGGCAAGCTGCAGAAGATGCTCCCGAGGAGAGAGAAGCTTTTTGAAGTGGACCATCCATTTGAGGGGCGCGATCAGAACTGTTGGCGTCAACAAGCCACCTACGCGACATCGCGTATACAATCGTTTCCTATATATATATATTATGCCCACACATTAAAAAATGAAAAAACATTATGCCAATGTAAAGCCTCTTGACGTGCCCAAACCATTTGGCCTGTCTAAATCACCGCTAATATTTTGAATAAGCAACTGTTCTTGATTCTAGTTCATCTTTGCACAGTTACAGTAGCCAAATCATATAAAAAAAAGCAGTAAACTCTTCTCTAACATAAGAGGAAGAATAGGAAGAAGATTAGGATAAACAAAACTTCATGTGGTTCTTCAAAAACACCTTGAATTTTGCAGAATCCATCCATTAAGAAGCCACCACACAGTCATCAAAGACACCAAAAGAAACAGACCATACAAAAGCATATGATTCTATTATCACAAAAAGAAACCTGAGATACAATTTTATTGTGGAAATCACTGTTATTACAACATCTTAACTGAGAAACCTTGAATGAGTTGTCGAATTTCATCGGAAGCTGCTCTATCAAGAGCAGTCCTTCCATCCATGTCTTTCACATTGTAATTTGCACCTGCTTTCAGAAGCTCCTCTATTTTGGGTTTATCCCCCTCAGAGGAAGCCAACATTAACAATATATCAACAGGGTGTATGTCTAGGCTCAATAGAGCCTCCATTTTGTCATATGAGCCCTCCACCGCAAGCATCCCCATATAGTTGAAATACTGCAAATACAAAGAAAACCACCCAATTTTCTTTCCAACAAGTGAGTATTAACCCTAAACTTCATGAAAAGGCATTGTCTGCTTCTTATAGAAAGAAGAAAATAACTTGATTGATCTATGGAACTCCTATGGATGTAATGATTGTTTCCATTGAGTTTTTCTTGCTGAGAGGTTTTAATCAAAGACTAAATAAAGTAAAAACCTACAACATATGGTTCATTCCCACAACATATCATTAATTAAGTACCATACATTCATACAACCAAAAAACAAACTTATGGCACGTTTGGTTAGCGTGCAAAAATTTGACAAGAAAAAATTCTCTCATGCGTTCAAGTGGGAAATATTTTCATACCTTTTGGCACCAATCCCACACTTTGACCAGAGATTTTTTTTGATGTGAAAACATTTTCACGCGAACCAAACATGCTTTTTTTATAGTCTGAAAAATTCACATGTAAATGAAAAATTCCCAAGTAATGAAAAGAAGAAAAGATTGTTACGGTATACTGGAAAGCTGTGTTTCTTTTTTCATTCTTTACGAGAAAGAGACAGAGAGAGAGAGAGACAGAGATAGGGAGGCTCGTCCCATAATCTCATGAATTTTATGAATAGAATTTACAAAAAATAGTGAAGATTTGGAGCTAGAATCTCCTTAAAACCATTTTTAGAAGCATTAACCCACTAAAAGATAACAAAAAATATTTCAAGAACATTTGGAAATCGCAAGAAAAAGGAGATTTTCGGAGGTTGCACTGCTTAAATATGCAGAGAAAACAAAAATAATAATGGTGGAGAGTGTATGAATAGATGAAGGGGCAAAATGTGAGAAATACCAAAAGAAAAAGAAAAAGAAAAAGAAAAATATAGAGAGAGGAAGAAGGGGCTAAATGTGAGAATTAACTATACCTGTTCCACATCGTCTCTGTCGAAATCGTCGCGCTTCTGGCTACCGTAGATTCCGGCTCCCTCAGCATCTACACCGTTCTTTCCAAACTTGAACCAGCAAGTGGCTCTGGAGCCATTACTTCTTGCACCCAAATTAACAGTGATCTTGTTGGCTTGGAAGTAACCCAATTTCTTAAACCCTAAAAATGGGGAGCTCAATCTTATTGCGCGAAAGGTAGTTGTGGGCGGAGGAAATGCAGGGGACTGTGTTAGTGCCATCACCTCTCTCTCCTCTGAGCTCGTCTTTTGAGCTAGCGAGATTTGGGGAGAAACTGAGCTCATTTTATCCATTATCTCATAAATGACCAGAAAGCCCCTGAATATTTCTTTGTTTCTTTGTTTCTGACAAGAGTAACGGGTATTATCAGAAGTAAAAGAAATTACAACAAAAAAAATTACACTAACGATAAATATAAGGAAAAGTATATAATGAGACCTTTTACTTTATATACAAGGTCGTCGCAATTAATTTTTACTATTGGATGTGTAATTTTTACTATTGGATGTGAAATTGGATGGCTGTATTTATTTCATTGATTAAACTCATAGTTTAAAAAAAATTTTATTGAATTTTATGAAACACTCAAGGTATCAGATTTCACATCATATAGTTGTAAGTAATTGTGACATTCATGTACTAAAGGCAAATGATCGCATTATATACAATCCCTACAGATAAAGATGTCATTGGTATTTCTTTTTTGGCTAAATCATCAACAATAGAATTTGTTTCTCTATAAACGTGATGAAAGACAACAGTAATACCAGAAAATAACTCAATCACTTTGTATAATAAGGTTAAAAGCTACAAAGAGGTCTTGACAAACCTTTATACCAATTAATGACATTGTGAGACTCTCCTTCAATGATTAGATTTTGCTCCATGCCTCTCTCCCTATAGATCCGCAATCCTTGTAGCAAATATTCAAATTCCGCATGATTAGCAGTAACCATCGCATGACCTCCGTGATTGCACAATGATTAGATTTTGCTCCATACCTCTCTTCCTATAGATCCACAATCCTTGTAGCAAATATTTATATTCCACATGATTAGCAGTAACCATTGCATTAAAGCACAACATAACAAAAAATTATCTGACCTTCGTATTTGTGACATACACCCTTAACTCCTGAAGGCCCCGGATTTCCAAAAGAAGAGGCATCAAAATTTATTTTTATGCATCCCATTGCTGGTGGGTTCCAATTACACCGTCGTCTCATCTGAAGAGTGCTTTGCATGACCAAATTAGTGAAGTTTAATTCAACATCGTTCCTTGAAATTTCTCAACTCTCCTTTGTAATACTAAACAAACTGCACGCAGAAAAATTAAATTTTCTTTGTAATTTAGCCAACCCGATAGCCATACCATCAAAGGGACACATGTTCCTTTCCAACCAAAGTTCCCATATAATAGTACCCCTCAAAATATACCATAACATAATGCCTATCTTTGGTATCCCTAGAATCTTCAGTTGACTCATTAAGTGACTAACCAAGGATGGGATAGGTAAAGCCACATCTATTTTTTGCATTGCCCAATACCATAAGTGAGAGGTAAAAGGGCAATGCAAAAATAGATGATCAACAATTTCGACTTCTTGTTTGCAGAAATGTCAAACATTAATGATAATCTTCCCTCTTTTCCTTAAGTTGTCAATCATTAGTATTTTCTTTTGAGGCATAATCCATATAAAAACTTTTACCTTGGGGTATGTGCCATTTCCAGATGTCCTTTAGAGTAGTTTGAGTCCACCTTACCCTGTCATGGAATAATAAATTGAATAGTGATTCTACGTGACCCTCCCACACCTATGTATGTAGGATCTTAGGATCACCATTAAATTTGGTACAGATCTCTAAAAAAGTTATCACAAGAGTGTGAGACTTGACTTTTCTAGAGATTTGTGCCAAATTTAATAGTGATCCTTTGGAGTACTACACATATGAGTATGGGAGGGTCTTACAAGGTCATTTCCCTAATATATTATATACTGATTTCACTGCAATGTGTTTCTAACTCCCAGAGAGCCATATCCTTTGCTGAATCAGATATATGAAACCGATCCAACGACTTGAGAATGTCAACATATTGATTCACCAAAATATTGAGGATACGGTTATAGAGGTAGTTCATATTCCATACTACAAATCAGTCTTCTTTAATACCCATCTCATTAACCTTAGCCACAGGAGGACATCTTAGAAAAATATTTGGATATAACCATCTAAAAGATATATCTGAAGCCCATTTAGAATCCAAAATCAGTACTGAATCTCCCTTTCCAACTACCCATCTCGAATTTGAAAGAACAAAACGCCTCATAGAATATATAGCCCTCGACATATATGATTGTTATCCCCTTTGTCCATGAGCAATAATCAGATTGCAAGGATCCCAACCATATTTAGCCTGAAGTACATCCTTTCATAAGCAGTTATCATTTTGTATTACATGCCACTACCATTTCGCTAGCAAAGCTTAATTCATAAATTTTAAATTTCTAATGCCCAAACCCCTTGCCAATTTTGGAGTACAAATTCTATCCCAACTGACCAGATGATATTTCTTTACATCCTTATCAGAGCCCCACAAAAAACTCATTAATTTATTCAATTGTTTAATAATATCACTTGGAATACACAATAAAGACATCCGATAAATATGCAAATTAGATAAGCATAACTTTATCAAAGTAACTCTACCCCCAAGAAATAAGTGTTTCGATTTCCATATGTCTAGTTTCTAGTTTGCCCTTTTAACAACATGGTCCGATATGGCCTTTGGCAACCTGCAATCAGATAAAGGTATTCCCAGGTAAGTAATTGGAACTTCTTATAATTCAAAATTTGAGCAAGATAGTTGACCACGACATATTCAAAATTTGAGCAAGATAGTTGACCACGACATCATGGCAACCCACACCAATTATTGAGGTTTTTTCAAAATTTACTTTGAGCTCAAAAGAAAATTCGCAACATCTAAGAAACATTCGTATAGTCATGATCTTATATATATCTGCCCCACAAAATAAAATTATATCATAAGCATATTGTAAGCGAGAGATAGTAGGCCCCTCACTTTTTATTTGAAAACCAAAAAAACCTTGATGATGAACTAAATTGTTAATCATCGACTCAAGGCCTCACCAACAAGGCTAAATAAGAGGCCTCGCCAACAAAGGTAAATAAGAAAGGGGAGAGATGATCCCCTTGTCTAAGACCTCTTGTGGTTTTAAAGAAATCCTTGGGGCTACCATTCACCAGAATGGAAAAATGAGCAGTTGAAAAACACCCAAAAATCCATTTCCTCCAATTAATACCAAAACTCATTATGTGCAAGATTTTATCAAGGATTCCCCGTTCTACTATGTCATAAGCCTTCTCCATATTCGGTTTGATAAGAAATCCGGGCATACCACTTACTACTCTTGCATGAATACATTTATGTGTTATCAATACACCATCCATTATCGTTTTCCCCTTAATAAATGCATATTGATTCTCATAAATATTTCAATCTAAGGTTTAAAAAAAAGAAAATTGTTTCACGCTGGCTGGACTGCATTGCTACAAAATGTGGTCCAAAAGTATAACTAACGGTCCAAATGTTTTCTTAATATCAATATTATTCCTAGTTTTCAAAATTTTTTCCCCATATTCATGATCTCCATGTTAAGGATTATATATCCTCTAAAAATTAGGATCAAATTACATTTAAAAAATATATTATTTGCCAAGCCCACATTTCTATAATATACAGTTTGGTCGCATAGAAATCGTATCCTTAAAAAAAATGGGTCGGTGAACTGGATCAGGCACCAAAAACTGTGTCGGATAAGTAGATCAGCTATCCTGATTGGAGAATTGGCTAGATCGGTCAGTTTTTGGCCTAAAAAATTCAAAAAATCACTAATTTTTTAAAATAGTCTTTTAAGTTTTTTTTTTTTTAAAAGGGTGTTGCACTATGTAGTTTCATTATTTATAAAAATACGTGAATATTGAGACCTTTTTTTTCTTTTTAGATGTCTGTATAATTATTAATTATAATATAATAATATAATATAGCTTCAAATTTATTCAAAAAAATACTAAAAAATAGTTTCATATAAGATTAAAAAATAATACCCTTTATAAAGTGAAATTATTATCACTTCAAACATTTATTAGTTCTCTTTACTCAATCAAAATTATCACAACCTACCTAATGCATTGGAATTAGCATTATTGGCTTATATTTTATAATTATTTTACTATATAAATAAAAATAAATTTAAACTTTGACTTAAATATCATCTAATTTAAAAAATCTTATTTACAACTATAGAAAAAAACAATACATTATAAAACTTATACTACAAATAAATTAATAAATAAAATGTTGGATTTGGTTGTATATGTATAATTATTAATTATAAAATTGTAATAAACATGCTTAAAAAAAAAGGGAAATTATCGCTAATATACCCGTATTTTCAAAAAATTGGAAAAAAACCCCCAACTTCCTAAAACCTCACCTACACCCTTTTGCCCCATTTTCGTGAAATTTTGGATGAAAATGCCTTTTACGATAGCTGTTGTGCCGTAAAAACAATTACGCTCATTTTATGACGGTACTAAGAGTATCGTAATGCTCATTACGGTACTCTTAGTACCGTAATGGTTTTTTTTTTCTTAATTATCGATTCATCCTAATCTTGGGCTATTACGGTACTATTAGTACCATAATGTGTTTTAAGACCATTACGGTCACAAAAAGACCGTAATGGTCCATAGTCCATTGGAATTCCAATGGACTTTGGACCATTATGGTCTTTTTGTGACCATAATGGCCTTAAAAGACATTACGGTACTAAGAGTACCGTAATGCTCATTTCGGTTACGGTACTCTTAGTACCGTAATGTTGTTTAAGACCATTATGGTACTAAAAGTACTGTAATGGTTTTTTTTTTTTTTTTATCTTGAAGCATTACGGTACTCTTAGTACCATAATGTTATTTCAAATCATTACGATACTAAAAGTACCGTCATGGTTTTTTTTTTCTCTTAATTATATCGATTGACTAATCTTGGAGCATTACGGTACTCTTAGTACCGTAATATTATTTAAAACCATTACGGTACTAAAAATATCGTAATGGTTTTTTTTTTTTTCTTAATTATATTGATTGACTAATCTTGGAGCATTACAACACTCTTAGTACCGTAATATTATTTAAAACCATTATGGTACTAAAAGTACCGTAATGGTTTTTTTTTTTTCTTATCTTGGAGATACTACCGTAATGTTATTTAAAACCATTACGGTACTAAAAGTACCGTAATGGTTTTTTTTCTTCTTAATTATATCGATTGACCAATCTAGATTACGGTATTAAAAATATCGTAATTGTTTTTACGGTACAACGACTAGCTTAAAGGGTATTTTCGTCCGAAATTTTACGAAAATGGGGCAAAACAGGTGTGGGTGAGGTTTTGCAAAGTTGGAGGGGTTTTTTCAATTTCTTGAAAATATGGGTATATTAGCGATAATTTCCCAAAAAAATATTAGAAAACACTTGCTTATCATATGATTAAAAATGAAAATAAAACCCCTTATAAATTTCAATGTTACGGCATTAAAAAAAGGGAAATTACATAAAAATCTATTATACTTTGTGTTATTACGGATATACCAAATAGTTTCTATTATTACATAAATGTCCGTTTTTTACCTTTTATAACGTAATTTTTTTAAAAAGACCAATTTACCCTTTTACAGATGTTGAACATTCGAAAATAGGCCGAAAGTTAAACGTTAAATTTCCTATTTTCGGATGTTGAACATCTGAAATTAAGGGATTTTTGAATGTTTAACATCCGAAAATACCACGATTGTTGAACGTTAAGTATAACATTTTTGGATGTTGAACATTCGAATTTAAGAGATTTTCGGATATTCAACATCCGAAAATACCCTGATAGTTAAATAAATCTTCGTCTTCTCTGTTTTCGGATGTTGAACATCCGAAAATCTCTTAAATTCGGATGTTCAACATCCGAAATGTTATACTTAATGTTACACTAATGGGGTATTTTCGGATGTTGAACATCCGAAAATTCCTTAATTTCAGATGTTCAGCATCCGAAGATAGGAAATTTAACATTTAACTTTAGGCCTATATTTGGATGATGAACATCCAAAAATCCCACCAATTCGGATGTTCAAGATCCAAAAAAGGGTAAAGTGGTTTTTTAAAAAAAAAATTCGTTATAAAAGATTAAAAACAGATATTTATGTAATACGCAAAACTATTTAGTATATTGGTAATAACACAAAGTATAACGGATTTTGTGAAATTTTCTCTTAAAAAAGATTGTCAAGAAAATATTTTCTCCTAAAAAATGGAAAATAATAATATCAAAAGTTCGACAATTTAAAAACTGAAAAACATATTGAATCACACACCATATGCATCAATGAACTATATATATCAAAAGCTCCAATTTTATTAAAAAATTATTAATTTTCAAAATACGATTTCTCAAAATCCCCAAAATCGGTTTGCATTATGGCCCAAAATCCATGTTGTTTTCAATTCTATCCGTTGTATTGGATCTGAATACAGGTTCACTATGATCATTTTCAATCAAATTTCAAGAAATTTGATTCAAATTTAAGAATAGATTGGTATGGCGGAACCCTAAAATATGTGGTACATTCATGCAAATCAAAATTTGTAGAAAAATAAATACGAAGTGAAAGTTAAATATCCTTAATTTATATGATAATTAAATCTCTGTAGATCATAAATGCCATTCAAATTGGATAAAAATTGCCCCAAATCCGTATCTATCGTTTTCAATTTTACTTGACAAATTTCAGGAACTTTTCGATTTCTAGCCTTTAGCCAAATCGATGAGGAATCCTAGTTTAATCGAACAAATTTTAACAACAATACTGTATAGGATTCAATTATCTTAGCCCCCATGTCAGACTCGGGCAAGTTCTAGTCAGACAGGATTATATTTAACAAAAAATAGAATTAAAAAGTGGAAAACGGGGAGATCTAGGTGATTCAGCCCAGAATCGCCAAACCATCTGATTCTTTAGCACTCCTTGCTACACTGTCCTTTTATTGATTATTATACTGCTACATGTTGTCATATAATCAATATTTTCCATCTCAATATAGAGCACATTGCAGTAAGAAACACATGATGAATACATCAAACTATATAGGATCCATCTTTTATTTCATTGATATGAACATCCATCTTTTGCTACAAACCATATTTCATTGAAGCATAAAGCAAGCTCTTTGTTGCGAAGCACTCTATTACATGATATTTAGATATCTCATATAACTTTAGCATAGGGAATTAGGGATTATTTCATAAACACTTAAAAGTGTACATATTTCACATATTGATTATCATAGAGATTAATTTGGAACCGAGACTTCCTTCACAATCTTGGCTCCCCTTAACTTGGCAAAGTAGAGACCCATATGGTGCATGGTTTCCTACAAAACAATCACATATTCATCGGTAAGACTTCAAGATGATCAAATTCACATATCCAAAATATTTCTGCTTCATTCAAGCTTACAAACCTTTTCCAGACAAGTGAATTCAAAATATCCCAGCCTTAGTACTTCACACAATATTAGATTTTGAAAAGCAAACTTCTGAACTGGCCTCAGTTTGTCTCTGTTTTAGAACCTATGATTATTACTATTCTAGATAAGCATGAGTTAAATGTCAATGTACATGCTGACACTCATATAGAGTGCTCACTTGAAGCTTGTTGCATGTTTATATGGACCCAGTATCGCCTCATATTAGCAAAGCAATGATAACATGCAATTGCCTACTGCAAGTTACTCACATAACATGGAATTGCCTACTGCAAGTCACTCACAAACTTTTACAAGAGAAAAATATATGATTCGATGGAACATAATAACTAGTTAACGAGAATTTGTTGCCTTCTATATCAACTAAGTGATAATTTAGGAAGTAATAGCTAATTTCCAAGCATGAATTTGCTTTCATACTAAATCACTTTCAATAGTGTTATTTCATCAGTAAATCAAGCTAGTCTACGCTCTTTCATCAGCTTAATATCTTTTATTACCATTTAAGGCTTAATTTCTTGAAAGTACCTAAGTAATTTTTTGAGATATCATTTACTAACTATAATATTACCGAAGCCTATAGAGAAAGAAAAGAGTGAAATAGTAATATTCTTATGAAGAGCAACCCTATGATTGCTCTATTGATCTTTGTAGCATGAGGCACTCAAGGCCTTTACTGAGAAGGCCAATCCATTGTAGAAGGCATTAGTTTGAAAAAAAAACCATACTTCCATAACTGATTGAAATCTCTCTCTCTCTCTCACGCTCTTGCGGGCACGCCTGCACACACATACACAACAAGTACATATGCAATGCCTCCCAGATAAGCACGTCTATACAAGAATATTAATATTAGGGATTGTATACAATGAGATCATTTCTCTTTGTTACAGGGAGGTCACAATTGCTCCGAGCCATTAGATATCAAATTGGATGGCTTGAGGCATGCACCACGTTTGAGATTCTTTTTTGAACTTTGAGTCTAGTCAATGACACACTCATAACCACTTGATTTGAAATCTGATGGATAAGATTGACTGTGACTTCTTTGTATTAAATATAACTAGTCTCTTTGCATACTTTTCCTTAAAATTATCAAAGAGTTTGCAAGCTTACTATACATTACTGCATAATATCAGAATGGCAGATGCTAAAAGGAAGTATTTGATGAACCATTTCTTCTTTTTTGGCCAATTGGCCCATTTAACTAAGAAATGGCCCCAATTCACTATTGGCTGAGTCAGATATTGCAAGTTTTTTTTCTGGAATTTGTATACAATGTTCGAAATTGGTTTGCTACAGTTCGCTAGCACCTCTCCAATGGTCCAATGTCAACAAAGGATGGTTGGGATATGTCCTTCCTTGCTTAAAGTCCATCAAAAATTTTTGATGGAGTTTGAGCAAAAGAACTACTTACCCCAGCCATGTGTTGTTGACATCTGACGGCCGAGGAGGTGCTACCAGCTGTAGCAAACCCAAATGCCAGCACAGACTACTTTCCCTTATCCAATTACACAGCATAATGATTTCAAAAGAAAATACAAGTCCAAAAGTATAAACTCACCCCCGTCATGTGTTGTTCACATCTGACAGCGGAGGAGGTGCTACCAACTGTAGCAAACCATTGCTAGAACTGAGCAAAGGAGGCTACATAGCCACATCCTGCTAAAACTCTAGAAAGAGGCTATAAAAAGTCCTTTTGGGTAGTTTTGACATGGTACAAGGAGGACATTCCTTATTCCCTCTCATCTCATGTATTTGTTTCTCTTTAAGGAAATACTTCAACGAGGAGAACACTGAAAAAGTACAATGGGAACCAATTTAATATGTGCATAGCAGAGTGGGGAACAGAGGCTTTTCTAAGGGCTTTGGTGTTTATCACATCTCTGTCAAAGTGGTCGTCTCTAATAGACAACTATATGGGGGCTTTAGCTCATTGAAGGATGGATATTATCTGGACATTTTATGCGATCCCTAAGCCCATCGATTACTGAGAGAGACTCCCTTAGCATTGTTAGTTGGGAATATGTGGGGTGGATGCATCATGAATCTGACTAATAGGTTATTCAATCCAACTTGTTTCACCATGTTGAAAATTTACGCAGTTATCTTATGAATCATTACAAATTTTAATTAGTTTTTAAGGTCAATTTGTCCAATTACCACAGCCAAAGTGACATCTAAACTACAAGCACTAAAATCAAAGTCTCACAAGCCATGCATTCATCAGTAATAGAATCTATAAAAATAAATTTGGAAGTAGCATTTCTGTGAGAACCATACCAAAGTTAAGTCCCATCTTTACTTTTATTTCCTTCATTGAAGTTATCAAGTTCATTAACTTCTTTAGGAGAAACCTAGTATTTTTATTCTGATACACATCTCTGATAACATTCAAATTGAGCAAAATCAACCATGTAAAAATAGAATCCAAAATTCTTTAGGAGAATCTAGTTAAGCTCACATCAAGCAAAATGTATAAGAGAATAAATTAGACATTTCAAGCTAAGACAATCTACAAAGAGCTTAGGCTTATGATTAGTACCTGTGGATGGGGGTTAGATCCTTTAATAGATTGAGCAATGCTCGAGGGGAAATCAAAAGTTGCACATCCATTAGAATACACAGCAACATCTTTCAAAGGGGGCAGCAAGCCACAGTTTCTAGCAGATAAAGTAGCCGCAACAAAGTCGAAAACACATATATCTGTACATATCCCTACCACCAATATCTGAAAGGAAAAAAAAGAAAAATGAAAAGTACGTTTAAAGAACCAGTATTGGCATCTCCAATGCTTTATCAGATGGTCAAACATGTACTATTTAAGCAGGATAACTGTTCTTTGGAACATTAAAAAACCCAAACTTACATTCATTTAACTACTTTCTGCAATGTGCAATACACCAATGACCAATAACAAAACTGAAAATGTAAAAGGAGAATGCATCTAAAAGATGAAAACCATGCTTGATTACAAAAACAAGTGGAAGATGAAAAAATGATCAAATATGAAAGGATCAATGAAATCCAAGACAATAATGGATATCTTAAGTAAATTCTTATTGATAATTCTCAAGATTTCTGGGTGTTTCAAATAAATTTTGGATGTCTCAATCAAGTTTATCAAACCTCAGTAAAATTTGTGCGTTTTTTAACTTGCGTCATCAATTCTTGGAAATATATGAAATTAGGCAGTATTGATTTCTCATGACTGATGAAATTATGTGCGAATGAGGATAACTTCTCAGCTAATAACTTCTGGAAGATAACAGACAATTTCTATTGACTCATATAAAACAATTTCAATAGAACTTTCAAGTTTTTGTATAATATAAACAGCTCTTAATAAAAGATGACTGAGCAACAAAAGATCTCAGCTAGACCATGTTGGTCATCACCCAATCTGCAACGCTATTAGATCCATCATTTTGAATGCAACCAATGAAACCATTAATGAGAAAAGAAAACAATTTCAACGGAACCTTCAAACTTTTTGTATAACATAAACAGCTCTGAATAAATGATGACTGAGCAACAAAAACTCACAGCCTGGACCATGTTGGCCTTCACCCAATCCACAAAGGTATTAGTACCATCATTTTGAATGCAACCAATGAATCCATTAATACAATCCTTTCTCTGAATTGTGACATTTGGGTCCTTCTCCAACCATTGCAAGGCTGCAAAACAAGCGATATGATTACTTAGTACTTAAGTAAAAATCCACAGCAAGTATTATTTCTTTACAAGTTCTTTCTCTGTAGAATAGAACAGTGCCATGGCTTCATCAGTTGTATTCAAGTGCAGTCACTGGCAACTGGCTAATATGAAATCATTGAGCATGCATAAATATGAGCAGTGTTTCATGATTCAGTCAAGTTCACTCAGACTCAGCCGAGCGACTGGCTTTGGCCAGTCCCAGGGGCCAAGTAGCCTCCATTTAAAATGACTGAAATGCTAATTTTTGTTAAAAAAAATAAAATGATTTAGAAATAAATTTTTAGATAATTCATAACGTTTTTTTTGGGATTTAGGAAGTTTTCTCTCAACATACTGCAATTTTTTGATTTTCCTGAATATTTCAAGGTACAAACCAAAATTTTGAATGATCCATCTTTTATGTAATTCTTTGGATTTCTAAAGAATTCTATTACTTTTTTACATTTTCCTGATTTCTAACTTTTTTTATTTTCTTTTTTTTTTTTTAACCTTTTTTTACTTGTGCGGTACTTGGCAGAGTTCGAGTGTACTCACTGAGTTGCTCGGATCGGGCCAGGGTGAGTACTGGACCCAAATGGAGTTAAAAAACATTGAATAAGAGTTTGCGCAATTTGGCTAGTTCATAAGATTAGTATCGGGTGTTTCCCAATAGTAAATCATCATAAATTATAATGCAAAAAGAACTGTAAATTTCTGATGAAAACAAAAATATATGGTACCTGGAACCAGATTTTCTTCTCCTGATCCAGCTATACAGTGAGGGGGATATGGAAGCTCAGGCTTATTGGGGTGATGGGTATCGAGAAAAGCCAGCATGGGCCACTTCTTCTTACTAAAAATCCTTGCTAGCCTTACACTCTCATCCACCATTCTTGAAATTTGTTTATTGGGCTCTCTGGGAGCCTGCAATTTCACCAAAAAATAGAAAAAACTGAGAGATAAAAAGAGATTACAAACAAGAATCCATCAAAAGTAGAAAACAAGCTCCTCCCCTCAAATAAATAAGTCCCAAATCCCAAAACTAATCAGACCATGAGTTTGAAATTACCCATCAAAGATGAAAGCTGTGTTACATGAAAAAAAAAAGTCAAAAAATAAAAAAAAATAAAAAAAAAATGCAATGTTGATAGCTTACCAGATTACCAGCACCAGGGGTGCAAAAACCATTGTTAATGTCGACAAGCACAAGACCAGTCCTTTTACTTGGAGAGATAAAAAAGGACTCCTCCTGCAATGGAAGTTCAGCCTTCAAAAGATCAAAAACAGGGGCCACCATCTCTGTCTCTGTCTCTGTCTCTGTCTCTCTCTCTCTCTCTCTCTCAATCTCGAACAAAGAAGGCCATTGATATATAGCACCAGATATAAGGTCCAAATTTCAAATTCAAGACACCTTTTTTGGTACCTCGGAAAAAATTGATAGCTCCTCTGTACAATATCAGGAATTCAGGAAAGTAAGATGTGCTAATAGTAAAAAGGTTCGAATCTCTTTGTCCATACATGCAAGGTGGCTTTGTGCCATTGGTGTGCAGGTCAATGTTTTACTATTAAATTGTTCATGGTTTTGTTTTCTTTGGCTAAGTTCATAACTGTGATTCTCCTTTCTTTGGGATGTGGAGAATTAGTACTCTCTTTTACCATTATTTGTTTGGAGTAGGAATCCAACTTGCTCGCACCTATTGTCAATTTAAAAAAATTTGCATCAGGAATCTAAGTGTCTCGGACCCATTGTCAACTTAAAAAGGGCAGTATGATATTATTTTTAGAAAAAAGTTTATATAAAGTATTGGAAGTTTGTAACAAATTATTTAGATAGTTTATTATTATCCTAAAAATAAGTGTTCACGCATTCTTAATATCTCTTTTATTTGTTGAGTTTCAAATTTTATTGTTGGGGTTAGAAATTGATTTTAGAGAAATTTAGGTCAGGCTTTATTTTATTTTCATAAAACCTAGGCCTTATAAAAACTTCATCCAAAGTTATTATTTTTATGGGTCTCTCCTTGTTGCAGTAGGGTAAATTGAATGTTTTGTCCCTGTTCTAAAGAAACCATATGGTCTCATCGTGCACATTTTTTGTAGTTTCCTCTTCTTTATCTCTCTATTTAAAAACTCAATCTTTAAACTCTCATTTCTCTCATATTCTCTCTCTAAAAATATAAATTTTTTTTGGGTAAGTTAGTGGGAGAGAAGGTCTTCTACCCGATTTTTCATTAATAATGAAAGAAAATACAACTCATAAAGTTACAACCCTACAGTAGAGCATTTGTGCCGCATTATGAAATAATGCAAGAGAAAGAAAATCCGATATTCTAGATCGCCAAATAGTAGCATCTGAGAAAGCTCTAACTTTCTTAGCAAGTGTATGTCACTATATTGACGCCACCATATTGCCCTCACGATAAATGTGGACTAAGGACCAAACACAGTCAGAAAGCTTATAATAGGCAATTAGCAACAACAATATTGAGCGCCCATAGAGCTTTGCAACAATCGAGTATTATATTAACTAACAATAATGAATCACTCTTGATCCATAAATAGAAACAATTAAACTGGATAGCCAGGTCCATCCATGCTTGTAAGACATGAAACTCCACCAAATTATTTGATGTTATTCTAAAGGGATTGATAAATGCAGTAATAAAGGAGCCATCATCACTTCTAAAAATGCCTCCACCACCTCTAAGTCTAGGATTCTAGAATGAAGGCCCATCAACATTTAACTTAAAGTGATTTGGATGAGGAAGAGACCAACCAACTAGAACGGGGTGTCTGACTTTCTGCTAGTGCTATGTGATTTGGAAGTTATTTACTATTGCTATCTCTGACAAATGGAAGATCCGGGCTTTTTAGCATACGCCATCTCTCTGACATAAGAGATGATTCTCCTGAGTACGAAATCACTAATCCGGCTGACGTAAGTTCTAGCAGCGAAGGGTCCACTTTATTGAATGATATCTCTCTTATATATAATCCATTTGAAGCGAAACTTGGACCATTGTGTTCGTCTCTAGGTTCTCTACAATCTCTCCAACTTTCATGACCAAAGGGTTCACCACCAAGAAGAGATAGAAGAAATATGCAGACATGGTAGAACTGGGCTGCAACAGCTTAATCGACGATGGATACGAAATAACAAAATCCCTTATTTTTCCTACACAGTGTTCCTGCTGAATCTTAGAGCTTCGAATTCGAATTCAAATGTCAAATAAGATGAGCATTGACCAAGCATGTAGTTATCAACAAAGCCATCTATGAAAGCATTCACATTCAAACAAAGCTACATGGTTATCATCTATGGCTCAATTATAAAAGATGAAGGCATGTGATCAACAAATGGATAAACATGATAAGCTTTTATGCTTATCAACTATTGAATGACTATATAAACCTGGATTCTTGATGAGGAAAGGACTTCAATTTCATTGGATTGACAAGATTGGATCAGTTCAGCTCAGAGAGAGACTGAGCATACACACTCTTTGATGATATTTGCATGATTGAGAGAGATAGAAGAGAGTGATTGTATTTGCAGTAAGTCAAGGATTAGCCCAGTAGTACCACTGTTGTTGCTGCTACATTGCAATAATATGATAGAGAGAGAGAGAATCTATTAAATTTAGACTCACGAGAAGCTTGATATCGAATGAGCAGACCATACATATAATACCCCTGCATATTGTCAGGTATATAGGCTCATGATGGCCTTGGTATTGATTTATTTGATGTGTGTTTGTATATTTTCCTTTCCTAGAATCATATGTATAGGCTTCAAGGCCCGAATTTAGCTTTCAAGCTAATGTAAGTGGCAACATAGGTTCAAGCCTTTGGAACTCTTTCGCTCTCAGTATGATAGGTAAAGCTTGTATTTCTATGATATGGAATACATGGGTGAATTTGGCCCCGAATGTGTTTGCTCTCTGGTAGTTCATTAGGAGTCATGATGTTTTCTTTAAACATTTTAAATTAATGCTGCACATTTTTCAGAGCGACCAGACCGAAGTAAAGCGAAGCTTGGTACTGCCGTTTCAGTTAGATTTGGGCCGCTTCAATCAAATTTGGGTATGATTCAAACCGATTTTGCTGAAGCTTGGCCTCTTCGGCCTAAGCAAAGAAATATCTATAAAAAAATATTTTTTCTTTTTTTTGAAATTTTTATTTTTCATTTTTTTTTTTTTAGATATATATCTAATTTATTTATTAAATTAAAAATATTTGAAGTCTTCCCCCGATCGGCTAAAGCACGGAATTGTTTCATTTTCTCACCAAATTGAAGACGACTCCGATGCAAATTTGACAACATTAAGCGCATATAGTTTTCTCAACAATATAAACCAACTCCAAACATTACATAATCAACTCTCCATACCACAAAACATTTAAAAACTCAACAGTACAACAAATAAGTAAAAACTATCAAGGGGAAGCCAATTGTCAAACCCTTTGTGCCAAGATCACATAAGCGGACCTTTTAGGGTCTTAATTTTGTCGCATGTATGACAGCACAGACGACTGTGATACAAAGGGCTTGTCTCACTTATGTGATGGGAAGCTTATGCTCAATTATTAACCACTTTATTAGCTTCAAAATGAGAGACATAAATGTACTTTTGATGATAATGTTGATAAAAACAATGAGCATAGACATCTTATGATGGGGCATTGAAAGAATCACTAAATGCTTGCTAGTATGCATGAAATATCTCATATAATTCTCAGAGAAATTAGATTAACAAAATGGTAGAGAAAGTGGTGTCTAAATTCAAGATTGAAAACTAGACTATGCATATTACGTGGTGTGGATGCATAGTTGTACAAGGTAATCAAAGATCACAAACACTCGAGACTAAAAGGACAAAATTTTTATTGTAATCATAGATTTACAACAATAAAAAGACAGAAGAAATACTCTAAAAATAAAAGAGTAGAGGCTATGGGGATTACCTTAAGTAAGGAGCATCAAGTGGGCTAGACACCATAAAGAACTCAAATGGCCATAGCTATATTTGCTCAAAAGGAAATGAAGCCATTTCAAAAATTTCACCTGACCTTAGCCAATAGATGATGCCACACCAAAATGTGATTTATACTATGATTATCATCCAAGACTTAGGGGCTAAGCCAAAATTTCATGATGTATCCTCAACCCTAGACACATGTGAAAAAAAACTACATGAGTGTCAATTAAAGCATGTGGCGAAATTACTCACTTAAGTAATAGAACTATTTTTCATTTAAACTATATAAAACTCCTTATGCTAAAACACACAAATTCCAAGGAAAGACACCTAAAGGGGTTTTATGTCAGAGGCATGTGGGTTCCATGAGGTGTCGTGTGTCACCCTATAGCCACTTGGTAGTACGTGGGGCCTCCACAAGCTCTCATTGATTGGAATGTACCCCAAATAAATCAAAAAAACCTCATATTCTTGCTCCAAAAAATTTTTAAAAATTACCAAAATTTCTTAAAAATCTCTAAATAGTTTGACTCTTAAGGGAAAAAGAGCTAAGATATAATTTGAGCTTTTAACTTAGTCCACTTTTGATTGTGAAATCGGCAAAGGAACTCATTTTTTTTCTCTTAAAATTTATATAAAAGAAATGAACTTTCAAGTTAGTTCACTTTTGATTGTGAAATCTAAGCGAAGGAACTCATTTTTTTTCTCCTGAAATTTATATCAAATAAATCAGTCTTGTACTCCAGGAAATACAAGTATGTTGTACACCTACAGGAGTACCGTTGTAGGTCCCTTCTATGTCTATGTGGAAGGGACCACATCTTTTCTAGATTTCTATTCTTTTTTCCTTTTCTCAAATTTATTTTTGTTTGAGGTATCGCCATCTTCAGATTGGAAAGTTGTTGTATGCACCAGGGGACAAATTCTTAAATTTGTATTCCCAGAGGCATAAAACATCTATCTTAAAGATGGATTCATATGGGTAGTTTCTCTCAAAAAAAGTTATAACCAATGGTCTAAATATTTCATTCGTAAAATTATCTGTTTCAACTTTTTAAATTTTTTTTTTTCCCAATAAATTCATGATATCCATGTTAAAGGTTATATATTCCTTAAAAATTAGGTCTAAAATTTATCTCAAAAATGAATTTTTAAGAGATGACTCATCTCTATATGCGAGTCCTATGACTCGTAGAAACCCTTTCCCTTTCTAATTACTATGTCTCCATAATTAGCATGTGGAAAATTGTTTCATATAGACTGGACCGCATTTCTACTTATGCGGTCCAGAATGTGTAAAGCATCCATCTTAAAGATGAATATAAAATAATACAAACTAACGGTCTAAATATTTTCTTATTAGAATTATTAATTTTAGTTTTTAAAACTTATTTATTTTTTCATATTAATGATCTCCATATTAAAAATTACAAGTCCCTAAAAATTAAATCTTAAAACCCATCTCAAAAATAGATTTATCAAGAGGCCCGTATTTCGACGTATGTGTGCTTGGCCGCATAGAAACTGGGTCTTACTATATATGCCAGCCAATGTTACCTAGAGAGAGAGGGCGAGAGAGAGAGAGAATTTTGCAAGAAGTTGCGAACCGTTGGATGTGTTTCGGCAGAGTCCAATGTCCCAACCATTGGAAAAACCAAATCCAACCGTCACAAACAAATGACCGTTGAGAACGGGCCCTTATATATCTCGACCAGATAAGAACAATGCCATTTGAAAACCAAACTTAACGAGCTTAGAGAGAGAAAAAGAGAAGAAGAGAGAAGAGGCAGAAGAATAGAGAGAAGAAGAGAGACAAAGAAGAGAGGAGGCAGAAGAATAGAGAGAAGAAGGGTTAGTGATAGAGAGGGAGATAGGACTGGTTTTTTCTGGCTCTCTTCTTAGTTCACTCTTCTCACAGTAGCAGAAACCATAATTTTTTAACCCATGTCCCTTTTTTATTTTCTTTTGTTATATCCGGTCTTGGAGCTGTTGTTTTTTGGCAAAATTTGGAAGAGGAGATGGCAACAACCAGGAATGTAGTGCCCCTAAACAGAGGTAATAGATTGTTTTAGGGTTTATTTATTTTATGGTGAACTTTCTAAAATTTTAGCTGCTTGCTCGTATAGAATCTAGTTTGTTTTTTTCATCAGGAAGGAAATTTTTTTGACTCATAGGAAATTTTTATATTCTAGTGTGAATTCTCTGAAATTTGAGTTTTGGAGCTGTTGTTTTTTGGCAAAAGTTGGAAGAGGAGATGGCAACAATCGAGAATATAGTGCCCTTAATCAGAGGTAATAGATCGTTTTAGGGTTTCTTTATTTTATGGTGAATTCTCTGAAATTTTAGTTGCTTGCTCGTGTCGAATCTAGTTTGTTTCTTTCATCAGGAAGGAAATTTTTTTGACTCGCAGGAAATTTTTATATTCTAGTGTGAATTCTCTGAAATTTGAGTTTTTGACTCAGAGGTTCATTTGCAACTGATTCTGTGAAATTTTCACAAAATTGATTCATAATCAGTTTCTTTTAAAATATTCTGTTAGAAATCTTAGAATACTTAGTGTTATTTTCTTCTCTATCTGATGTATTTTGAGGAAAATTTCCTTAATCAGTTTTAGGTTTTCATCGGCTCAGTTGTTTTATTTTGTGGCCTCACGATTCTTCCATGGCCATTTATTCTTTGTTTTTCCATGTTTTTAAAGAATCTATGTTCCATGGCTCTAGTAGCAGAGACATGACTACTAGGATTTATTTTTTATTCTCTATGTAAGGGTTACTTTCTTCTTCTAAAACTTGTTCTAACCTAAAATGGGTTTTCAGTGTTTTTCATATTTTTGAGCTCACAACCACTATTCTTAGATGCCCTTGTTCTTTATCTGGTTGTGCTTTGGAGAAAGATTTCCTGGTTGTGCTCTAGAGAAAGATTTCCAGATTTAGTTTTAGGATTTAACTGGCTCAGTTTTTTTTATTTTGTGGTCTCAAGTGTTCTTCCACAGCCAATTGTTCTTTTGGTTCGGCCTAATTTCGCATTTCTTATCTCTTTCTAACGAAGCTTTTTTAACACTCCAATTCCTGTTTTTGACTAGAATTCTTTTATAACAAGAAACCTCTCCCTCTGATCAACTGGTCAGTTACAAGGTCAGTTAAGAACCCATTCATATTTATTTCTTGTAGAATCACCTCTCTCTCCCCCCTTTCCTTAAGAAGTGGATTCTCTCTCTCTCTCTCTTTAAATCTCAAATTGCGTTTCTCTTTTGGTTTTCAAGAGTTTTGGAGCTTCTGACCAATGCACAGGGAGCTGTTACAGCCAATAAGGTAAATGAACAGACTTCCCCCCCCCCCCTCCCTCCTTTTGATTATTTTCCTCTCACTGGCCAATGAACAGGTGGTTGTTGCAGCCCATAAGGTAAATGAACAGATGCCCCCTAACCTTTTTTATTATTTTCCTCTCAATTCTTACCATTTGAATCATTAACTCCCTTGTGAATGATTTTTCCTTCCATATACAATTTTCTAGACAGTAATAAAATCAAGCATTAAAGAAGGAGATTGTTTCTTCTGGCTATCACCTCTAATCAGATAAGCCTAGGCGAAATTCCATATTACTTTGTATGGAATTAAGCATAAGAATGGGTTTCTTCTTTTGATGAAAGGTATGCTAAATACCCAATTATGATAGTTCATCTAAATTTTTTATCTTATTTGTACTTGTTTTATTATTTTTGATGAGTTTCATCTTCATCGAGTTTGCTTGTAAATCAACAAGCATGAAAGCAACTTATCATCGAGGTGGATCTCTTTACGTTATTTGATATTTGAGATCTTGATCTTGCAAGCTTGATTTGCTTAATGTTTCTTTCTTCTCTAATATAGTACTGCTCTTTCTTCTTTCATGCAAATATGGAGTGAATTTTTTGGAGCTTTACTTGTGGTTTGCAATTTTATTAAGTAACTTTTTCTTAACATACACACACTCTTACTTCTTTCATGCAAATATGGAGTGAATTTTCTGGAGCTTTACTTGTGGTTTGCAATTTTCTAAGTAACTTTTTCTTAACACACACACACACCATACACCACACGCACACATGCACACATGCACACACTCACACTCATACTCACACACACACACACTCACACTCACACTCTCACACACACACACTCACACTCACACTCACACTCACACTCACACTCACACACACACCCATACACATGCACACACACACACTCACACTCACACTCACACTCACACTCACACTCACACTCACACACATACACACTCATACTCACATTCACATTCTCACTCACACACACACTCACTCTCACTCGTACTCTCACTCACACACACTAATACTCACACTCACACTCACACTCACACTCACACTCACACTCACACTCACACACACTGACACACACTTATACTCACACTCACACTCACACACACACACTGACACACACATACCTATATACACATACACACACACACTCACACTCACACTCACACTCACAAACACACACACTAACACTCACACTCACACTCACACTCATACTCACATTCACACTCACACTCACACACACACTCACTCTCACTTGCACTCTCACTCACACTCACCCACACTAACACTCTCACTCTCACTCACACTAACCCTCACACACACACTCACGCACATACGCACACACACACTCTCACACTCACACTCACACTCACACACACACATACACTCACACTCACTCATACTCACACTCACACTCACACTCACACTCACACTCACACTCACACTCACACACACTCGTGGACTCACACACTCACACTCACACTCACACTCACACATACACACACACACACACACTCACGCTCACACTCACACTTACAACTCACACTCACACTCACACTCGCACTCGCACTCGCACTCGCACTCGCACCCGCACTTGCACTTGCACTCGCACTCGCACTCGCACTCGCACTCGCACTCGCATATATTTATACTACACATATATGCGTGTTGTGAATTTGCTGATGTGTGTATATATACGATCTGTATATACTGATATGTTTGTGCGTGTATGCATACAGTTGCTTGCTATCAGTTATAAACAATTATCAATGTATATACGGTGTATGTATATACTAATACATGCATTCTATATGCACTGATATATATGACCATATAAACACTTATTAGCAGTTTATATATATATATATATATATATATATACGACATGTATATGCTGATTTGTTTATGCGCGTATGTATAAACTTGCTATCAGTTATATATACAATGATATGCGCACGCACATGCACTCTTACAAATTGATAGTGCGTACATATATTTCTTTATACACTGATATTTATGACCATATAGACAATTATTATCGGTTTATACAGTTACTAGTGCATATGTACACTGATATGTATATACGTATACACATATGTATATGTATAAAGGGTTTATCAGTGATATATACAGTTTTTAGCTCAATTTGTGTACGTATTGATGTATAGCAACTTTTACCATTGTTTTCAGTGTATTTTTATATACTAATGCATATAACCATACAAAACATTAGTTATCAGCTCTATATATAGTTATTAGTGTGTACAAAATACATTGACATGTGTGTATGTGTGTGTATGTATATATACTGATATGTGTGTATGTGTAAAGGGCATAGTTGTATATATATAGTGCATTAAATGGCCATAATATATACATTTCTATATACATTGATGTATATGACCATATATATACACTTACTTTCAGTTTATACAGTTAGTAACATATATACACTTATTATCAGTTTATACAGTTAGTAATATATTTGTACATTGATTTATATACTACACACTCACACTCACACTCACACTCACACTCACACTCACACTAACACTCACTTACACTCACGCTCGTACTCACGCTCACGCTCACTCTCACACACATTCACACTCACACTCACACTCACACTCACACTCACATTCACACACTCACACTCGCACTCACTCACACACACACTTACACACACACTCACGCTCACACTCACACTCACAAATCTTTATACTACACATATATGCGTGTTGTGTATGGGCTATTGTGTGTATATATACGATATGTATATACTGATATGTTTATGCGTGTATGTATACAGTTGCTTGCTATCAGTTGTATACAATTATCAATATATATATATACTGATATGTGCACATACATGCCCTTACGCGTTGATAAATGCATATATAATGTATATGCATACACTTATACATGCATTCTATATACACTGATATA